GCCGGGCCAGCCCCTCCCCCGGGCCACCCGGGGGAGGGGGCAGCAGCTGCCATGCACCCCCCAAAGGCAGATGCTCACTGGTTTTGAGCAACTCCAGCAAAGCCCCGTCTCAAACCACTCACATCGCTGCCCACCTCTGCCTGGGAGCCGGGGGGGTGGCAACACCAGGGAGGGCTGAACACCCCCCTGGCCCCAGCAGCCCGGCCACAGCCACGGTTGCAGCTCACCCCACACTCACCTGTGTGCTGCAGCGAGGGGCTGGGCTGGCAGCACCACGAGCTGTCCCCACCACTGCCTCTGCAAAGGGTTCTGCTTCGCCCGGGTCTGGCCCCATCATCCGGGGCAGCAGCCAGCCGAGCCACCAGCCGTGCTGCGGCACACGCCGGGCAGCCTGCGGGCACCGCACACCAGCAGAGAGCATGGAAAATAAAACACCAGCCTGACAGCTGTCCTGGGAATGAGGGGTTTGGGGAGCTGGTTTATACAGAGCCACGGGGGCAGCCCCTCGCTGCCAGACCTGCCCGGCTCCCTCCGGACTCGCTGCCGTCTCCACACCATTAACTTCAGCCACCGGGACCCCATCCAGCCTGACCCTGGCGCAGGGATGCACATCGGGGACAGGGCAAGTGCCAAGCGTGGCTGCAGGGGTGGGGAAAGAAACAGACAACAGTCAGAACTACTCACAGAGGCAAAATTTAATGGCAAGTCATCTTCCCTCCTTTATTACACCTTGGTTAGCCAAACAAAAAAAATTCTGCAGGTAAAAAAAGTTTTAATGGTCACACAGCACTTTATACATATATTGTAAGCAACCAAGCATCCACATCTGCACGTGAACGACACACCTCTAAGCATGGCCTCAATAGTCAGGTCTTTTTTTTTTTTTTCTTCATTAAATACTGTACAGAATCAAGGCTACAAACTGATTTTGTAATGCTTCTTCCCCAACCCCAGCACTTAAAACAGTTACAGGCTGCTCTCATTTGTACATCACACAGTCGTGTAGCCAGTTTTAAGGCTAACAATATGCATCATGCTTTGGCTTTTTTTGTGTCTTTTTAAATTTTTTTTTAAGGTTTTAGCCTTTTAAATTTTGTTACCCTTAAATATTACATACATACACAAAAAATTACATAGCTGCAGTGTGCTCACCACCAACCTCATCACCCAGGAGCTTCACATTATCAAAAGCTTTAGAAAATTTGTAAACCTCTGTGCACGCTTCGGTTTGGGACAGCCAGCTACAGAGAGCGAGCGATGCCAGGGGCAGTGGCAGCCGGGGAGCAGTGTCCCCCCTTCCAGCAGGCCGATACACACCTCCTCTAGGAAGCCCCAGGAACCTGTGCAAAAGCTCTTGATTACGATCAGAGGAAACAAAGAGACTTCTTGGGCAAAGGGGAGGGCTCGCGGGGGTCCCAGCAGCTTGCCCTCCTCCCGGGCGGTGGGCAGGCTGCCCAGCCCCTGCTGCAGGGAGCAAAGGGTGGGCAGAGCGGGGAGCCCCAGAGCTCCTCCAGCTCCGGCTCAGCCCTGAAGGGTTTTCTCCCTCCCTCCCTGGCTGCGGGGCTAAGGACACCCACAGTCTGCACAGGGGACAGAAGTCGTCAGTGTCTGTAGATCATCAACCGCAATTTTGTCTGATGAGTAAGACGTTTAATCATTTGCAGAACAAGCCTCTCTGCCTGCCCTTCCCCTGCCCTGAAGGAACAGCCTCACCCCTCTGCCCCAACCGGCCCGGTTTTCTCCCTCCCTCCCTGGCTGCGGGGCTAAGGACACCCACAGTCTGCACAGGGGACAGAAGTCGTCAGTGTCTGTAGATCATCAACCGCAATTTTGTCTGATGAGTAAGACGTTTAATCATTTGCAGAACAAGCCTCTCTGCCTGCCCTTCCCCTGCCCTGAAGGAACAGCCTCACCCCTCTGCCCCAACCGGCCCTTGATCCTTTGGAGACTTTTTTTTTTTTTTTT